ACATAAGTCTCCATGTACCTTTAATAGAACAAGCAAACCGTCGATGTCCTTAGCATCACGTCTAGTGGCGATGCACATCTCGCGGTATAGCCATGCCAATGCCGCATTACCCTAGTTGTACTGACCGACAATGATAAGATTGGCAAGTAAAGGAATGTACATCAACTTGACCTTGCTAGAAGACGTGTCTATGAACAAATATAAACCGATCAGAAGCATGATGTAGGCTCTGGCATAAGACGCAATAAATGCATCATCAACATCTACAAGAACACCTCCATCCAAATGCCCCTACAATGTAGAAAGCCTGAGGAAAGACCTGTCTATAGCCCTTTTGGCAGGTGTAAACTCAAGCAACTGCTGGCATAATGCTAGCCAAGTCGTGTCAGTAGGGCAACTATCTCTCTCAGTCACTACCATACCATCGATCGGTAGGCCTATATGAACAACGACATCCTGAAGAATGATAGTAGCGTCTCCTATAGGAAGATGAAAAGTATGCATCTCGACACGCCATCTCTCGACTAGCGCTGTGATGAGAACATTGTCCAACCGCTTGGACTTAATTTTGTGCTCCCTATAAAATTCGACTGTAATCAAATGACAAAGCACGCACTCATCTGTGACATGTAACTGTCGTGCGGTGCGGTCACTACGCTTGTAGTGCAAAGGAGGTGAATCTATACCCTGCTAGATGTACTCTGATCAATACTTAAACTGTAATGCCAGAACATAGTGGTCATGTGAATCAAGATGTACTAACCTCCGTCCATCGGTGTCTATGAAAAATAACTAAATTAATCTGTAAAAACAAAATACAATTTAGCATAAGATGAAAACATCTACCATCAATAATTGATAAAGGTAACATTTCCAACATCAAACATATCGTAATAATATCATTTCAACAAACATGTAAATACAAACCAGTATACCAACAAAATATTACAATATAAGTATATCGTAAGGTCCAATACACAATTGATTATAACATAGGACAACTTATCAAGATCTCAAAATAAAGTGGGTCAATCTACTGAAGAGATGCTGGAGCTCACGTATTTATGGATGAACACTTCTGATGATTGTGACCAAGTTTGTCACATAGCCCACAATGTATTTGATTGCGATCCTCTGGCGGGAAGTCAATCTCATTCTATATACGCATCGTCCGTGGTCGACTAACCAAGTCTCAACATTGGTTACGATTAGGGACTAATTTGGGATGTGGAAGATCATCCTAGTAATGCTCATTCTTTAGAGGAAAACATTTCAGGCTCCTAAATTTTCTTCAAAGTGTCGATATTGTATATGAGATCTATGTAGGACTGAAAATGCAACTGATAAGAAGAGCATATAGCCAATACATAATAGAAAGAAATTATGTAAATTGCCTATTTTTTGAATGTGCACGAACAATTTTCAAGACACACTACTTGTTTATGACCACCACTAGTTGTCACTTCAGCAAGATTACGTTCCCTATGAAATGACATTACTTCGTGGACACGACTCATTTGTTGTGCATGTTGTAATCGTTTCACAATAGTCTTAGGAAACTCTGTCCCATTTTCTTTCCTTTTTGTCACATTATCTCGATGTTCAAAATGATACTTAGTGACCCGATAAAATATTGACTGCATATAAGTAATTATAGGCAAATACCTGGCACCTTGGAGAACACTATTAAAAACCTCTGAAATGTTGATTGTCATGATGTAATATCGTCGTCCACCATCATGGGCTAATGTTCACTTCTCCAATGACATATCAGTCAAGTATTTATACGCTTCCTCTTTGACATTGCGTATTTGGGTCATCAAATCATCAAACTTGCGAACCTGTCATACTTGTCAGCCCTCCACATAAAATCATATAAATGTCCATCCTTAAACTATGTATTAAAATTATTACAAACATGCCGAAAACAAAAGCGATGATAAGCATATGGTGGATGCCACCCAAAATCTTCCATGTTCACAACAGAAAGGATCCCCGCGTGCCTATCATATATTAAACATATCATTTCCCGATGTCTAAGAACTATCTTTCGAAGGTAATATAGGAAAAATAGCCCAACTTGATCAATTCTCCTCTTCCACAATAGCAAATGCAATGGGAAACAACTACTTAATAGAATCAAAACCAATCACCACTAACAGCTTTCCCTTGTACTTTTCACGTAGAAATGTTTCATCAATACTAACAACAGGTTGACAATATTTAAACCCTTTAATGCTGGGCTTGAATGCCCAAAATACTCATAAAAAAAATATTATATTCAGGAGATTCATAGTTGTACAGTCACTTCACAATTAAGCTAGGGTTATACTTTTTTATGACACCCAAAAACTTTGGCAACATGTCATATGACGAGTCCCAATCACCAAAAAATCTTAGCAATGGCATTTTTCCTCGCAATTCATGCTTTCTTGTAAAAAATATCATACTTAAACCTCTCTTTTATATTCTTCTGATTTGTTGACATTTTTGTTTATGGTGTATCACTCACAAGTTCCAGTATATTATGACATATGAAGTTAAAGTCTAACTATCGATGGTCACGACTTATCCTAGGGTAGAAGCAGGTATGAGGTCCATCATATTTCTTGATCTAAAATATTTTTAATTTTTTCATAAAACAAATACGTAGTCTCCACGTGCAGTCAGACTGCATGTACATGATGCACTGTACAGCCCACACCGTTGTGTTCGTCTCGACCACAATAAAATCATGATTTAGCTTGATGGAATACTATTTAACAGCCCTAATCAATGAAGCTTTATCCTTAAAAGTCATGCCCTTCGCCTACTCCATCTTCACCGGATCCCACAAATTCAGTTTAGATGATGGTACTAAGCTATTTGCTTCAGAATGCTGAGCAAATTCAGTGGTTGTGAATAAGGTGGAGTAAGGCTTATGCATCCGAACCTCCTGGGTAGCCTGAATGTCTTCACCATTCCCATCTTCGTCATTCGGCTCAGCAATCATTACTTCCTCAAAATTTTCTTCGTCATCATCATCAGAAACATCTGTACGATCATTGTCACACATTTTTTCATATTTCTAGATTGGGCTTTGTTGCATTATTGGTTGATGGATATCATCTTGTTCACCCAACTCAATTTCCATCTCATTCATTTGAAAATTCTAACTTAGTGAATTGTTGGTTGAGTACCCACCATATGTTGCGGAACTAGTTCTTTGTTAGATGTAAATGTATTGCCCAAACTTATCAATTACCTATATCCCTACGGGAGTTGAACATTCACCCGTCACCCCGAAAGCTGGAAATGTAAAGGTACCCATCTCTTACCTAAGCAACTCAATGTAAGACATGATAGCTGTTGTTATGCACCCTCCGATCTGACTACTACTTATGCCTGCATTGATGTCATCCATCTCTACATACAAAGTAACACTAGCAATGTTGGAATTTCAAAATACCACATTAACCACAAAAGTCACTAGTTCATCGTTCACAATTTCTAGACCTACATTTGTATTCGTGTTAGGTCTTGTTCCAAGTGTAAAAGGATATCTACAAGTCAACTTTAACTTGTTATGCGCCCTGTCCAACCCCATTACAGTGTAAGTTTTACTCAATAACTCCTATAATTGTGTACAACTATTGATAAAAATTTCACCTTTTAGAGGACAATTGTATGATAAACCCTCTGATCCATATTCCATTCGTCCACCCCTATATAGCAAAACAGTAACTTGTTTTCTCGTCATTTCAATTAGTTTCTATTGTGAAATAAGTTTTGAATTCAGAAGAACCTGAGGATGGATAGAAGCGGTTAATACTTGAGGAAAAATATATCCATATTTAATCAAAGTCCCATATGAATCTACCGCATGCAACCTAGAAGCATTGATCAAATACGAAACCTATGAGGATGAAGTGTACTTGTAGGAAACTAAGAAAGATGGAGATCCGACCTTTATATGGATGTTTAAAAAAATAAACCCCAAAAGAGGTTATCTTGTAACATGTTATCATATATTGAAAGAACTGAAACATGTTATCAAGAAGGCAAACAATGTAGCCAATTTTTTTGGCTAACAAGGTAGTAATTGCCTTACAATACTTTAGTAACATTATAGCATTAATCAACATGCTTATTTTGCGAAAAAAATGTGTTGATTGATAAGTAAGAGGCATAACTACACTACTTCGATTGAGATTGAGTGAGACATAGAACATGTTTAATATGATTTATTATATTCTTTTAACGTCAAATTTCAATTTCGTATAGATGTTGAATTATAAAAGACTTAATGAGGACAGAATGAATGAGTGCATACCAGGAGTGAGGTTGAAGCAAATTGAAATTAACAAAAAAACAATGATCTAATTCTCAAACAAATGAATGAATGAGTTTTTAACAAAAGAAATGCAAAGGAATGAATGAGTTTTAAACATAAGTTGAAAAAGACAGAAAAGGTTTTGATTAATTATCACCTAATAAAATTTTCAAGCAACAAACAAAGCATTAGAATTAGATGAGTTGACAATAAAAATATTTTTTGATTAATTATCTAAATATAAATTTAATATATCATTTTTTACAAAAAAAATATAAAAATATTAATATTTGATTCAATTTTAATTCCAAAACTCAACCAAGGGTTATCGCTAGATAATTATGTACAACTACATACATATTCTATGTGATTAAATTAAATTTAAATTTTGAATTAGCATATAATTAGAACAAATTAGCCTACGAATTTGACAAACTCTATTCAACACCCAAATTTAAAACCCAATTTGAAAACAATTTAGGCTAAAAATTTCACAAAAACATATACTCAATAATAATCAACTCAACAATTACATACTCAAATCAACTCAACAATAATCAACTCACTAATAATCAACTCAATAACTCAATAACACAATAATCAATATTTTCAATAATTTCATATAATTTCAATATTTTTCATTCAATATCTATAGAGGTCTCACTGAAGGTGGTGGAGGCGTTGTCAGATGTGCAGTGGAGGAGCAGTGAAGTGTTTCTGGTGGGTGGTGTGGCGGGTTTGTGAAGATCGGGGGATTTTGGGGATTTTTAACGGTAGGGGTGGTGGTGATGATTTATGCAACACACTGCTTGCAGCTAGGACTGGTAGTCGTGCTAGGGTTGGGCCTTTCAGATGGTGGGTGGTGCTGGGGTTTGGGGCTTCGATGGTGGTGGTGCTTGGATTTGGGGCTTCGATGCTAGGTGGTGCTGCGATGGTGGTTGTGCTTGGATTTGGGGGTGACCAATAATGGCAGTTGGCTGGAGTTTTAGATGGTGTTGATAAAGGAGCTATTGCTGATTGAGGTGGATTGGATGTTTGGTATAGGGGATGCACATGGTGAGGCGGATCCCTCTCACCTAAAATGTTAGGGCTTAGATGGGGGAAGAAGAGAAAATAAGAGAAAGGAAAGAAGAGGAGGGAAAAACGATACTCAGATTTAACTTAAAAATATCGGTACAACTGACGTTTTTAATTAAAATGTCAGTTGGACTAAAGTTTTTTAAATCTTCTGGATGTTCACTGTTAGTCTTTTGAATGCTCACTATTCAAACCAAAAAATGTCAATTGGTTTGATATTTTTAGCCTAAAAATGTCAATCTAACTAATATCTTTTGACTTAAAAATGTCATCCCATCTAATATTTTTAAATGCCATCCCATCTAATATTTTTAAAACACTCTGAATTTAAGGAATACCTTCGAACCAACCATCTTTGTAAATTTTTTTTTATAAACTTTTGGGTTGGGTTAAAAGCTCCTTCCTCCGGACGTACCTACGTAGTCTAGCTGGTCATCGAACGCATGCGTAGTTATTCTTGTCATAGAACGCTGATATGGAACAATTCTGCAGCCCATTGCGAAACCAAAATTTCGATTCGCAGTTCACTATGTGGGTTCTCATCCCAAGCCGTCCAAGTTCCTGTAATGCCACCAGTACCAACCTCCAAGTTCGATTCTCATGCATACGCAGGTATCCTCCAGAATTCCATAAGCAATGGCGATCCTATTACCGGGAAAGGCATTCACTGTCATGTCCTGAAGAGAGGAAATTGCATGGATTTATTTGCATCGAATATTTTACTTAACATGTATGTGAAATCTGACCTGTTGTTGGATGCTCGTAATTTGTTTGACGAAATGCTCGAAAGAAATACGGTATCATTTGTTACTTTAATTCAGGGTTACTCGCAATCCTCGCGATATGTTGAAGCTGTTGAATTATTTGTTAGATTACATAGAGAGGGTCTTGAGCTTAACCCATTTGTCTTCACTACTATTTTGAAGTTGCTTGTCAGTATGGATTGGGCAGAGTTAGCTTGGAGTATTCTTTCGTGCATTCATAAGCTTGGTCATGATGATAATGCTTTTGTGGGAACTGGCCTTATTGACGCCTTTTCAGTTTGTGGCTCTATTGACATTGCTAGGAAAGTGTTTAACGGGATTGTGTACAAGGACACGGTTTCTTGGACTGGGATGGTGGCTTGTTATGCTGAAAATGATTGTTTTAACGAGGCGTTGGAACTCTTTTCTCAAATGCGGATATTGGGGTTGAAGCCAAACAATTTTACGTTTACTGGTGTTTTTAAGGCCTGTCTTGGTCTAGAAGCTGTTGATGTGGGGAAGAGCATCCATGGGTCTGTCTTAAAAAGTCGATATGAGTTGGATCCTTATGTCGGTGTTGCGCTTCTTGACTTGTACACCAAGTCTGGAGAAATTGAGGATGCTCGGTTGGTATTTGAGGAGATTCCCAAAAGTGATGTAATTATTTGGAGTTTCATGATTGCACGGTATTCTCAGATTGACCGGTGTAAAGAGGCTTTGGAACTATTTGGTCAGATGAGGCATGCATTGGTTATCCCAAATCAGTTTACTTTTGCTAGTGTGTTGCAAGCATGCGCAACTATGGAGGTATTAGACTTGGGAAGGCAAGTCCATTGCCATGTACTGAAGGTTAGTCTTGATTCAGATGTATTTGTTTCCAATGCCCTCATGCATGTGTATTCTAAATGTGGAAGGATGGAGAATTCAATGGAACTCTTTGTGGAGTCGACAAACAGAAATGAAGTAACTTGGAATACAATGATTGTTGGCTATGTGCGGTTAGGAGATGGAGAGACGGCTTTCAATCTGTTAAAGAAAATGATTAAAGACCAAGTTCAGGCGACTGAGGTGACATACTCTGCTGTTCTCCGTGCTTGTGCTAGCTTAGCAGCCTTGGAGACAGGCATTCAAATACATTCCTTGACCATTAAAACCATTTATGACCAAGATGTTGTCGTGGGCAATGCTTTGATTGATATGTACGCTAAGTGTGGGAACATTAAGGATGCTCGTTTAGTCTTTGATATGATATGCAATCGAGATGTAGTCTCATGGAATGCTCTAGTCTCAGCATATTCCATGCATGGTCTGGGTGGCGAGGCTTTGAGAATATTTGAGAGAATGCGGAAAACAGATGTAAAACCTAACCACCTGACTTTTGTTGGTGTTCTTTCAGCATGTAGTAACACGGCTCATTAGATCAAGGTCAAGCTTATTTTACTTCCATGGGACAGGACTATGGTATTGAACCCTGTATAGAGCATTACACTTGTATGGTATCACTTCTAGGGCGATTAGGCCATCTTGACAAGGCTCTGAAGCTGATTGAGGAAATCCCGTTTGAGCCTAGCCTCATGGTGTGGCGAGCTTTACTTGGGGCTTGTGTTATCCATAACAATATCGAGCTTGGAAGAATGGCTGCCCAGCATGTTCTTGAGATGGAACCCCAAGATGAGTCAACCTATGTGCTTATGTCAAATATATATGCCACAGCAAGAAGGTGGGACAGTGTAGCTTCTGTAAGGAAAAACATGAAGAGCAAAGGAGTAAAGAAGGAACCTGGCCTTAGCTGGATTGAGACCCAGGGTACAGTTCATTATTTTACCGTGGGTGATGCTTCACACCCTGACGTTAAATTGATTCATGGGATGCTGGAGTGGTTGAATATGAAGAGTAAAAAGGCAGGTTATGTCCCTTACTGTAATGCTATTTTACTTGATGTGGAGGACGACGACAAAAGGCGCCTTTTATGGGTGCATAGTGAGAGATTAGCTTTAGCTTTTGGGCTGATTCGACAACCATCCGGAAGCCCCATTCGTATCATTAAGAATCTCCGTATATGCATGGACTGCCATGCTGCAATCAAGTTTTTGTCAAAGATTGTGGATCGAGAACTTATTATAAGAGACATAAATAGATTTCATCATTTCAATGATGGGATCTGTTCTTGTGGTGATTATTGGTGATGTGCCTTAGTATGCCATTCTTGGATGTCAAAGGTGTCCATCCCGATGGGACAGTACAGAGTCACTAATGCTCGTTTGTTTGTCATGACCTGGAACATTCTTTGTTTGCCATGGCCTGCAGTTGCTTTCTTCTAAGGGAAACTAAAACGTTTTCAGGTAAGCTTTATTTTATCACTCATGATGATTTTCTGTTGCTTCACATCTTTCTTTTGTTATATCACAAGCTGTTCTCTGTTGAATTTTGCATTTTGATTATAACTCTGAATGCTTGATGAACTCCATATCTCTCAGTTCTTACAATTTCTTTGCTGGTTTACACTGGCCTTATTAGATGGGTCTAGCAATGGATAAATTTCGTCATAGTTTGTTGGATTCTCATACATTCCACATCTCTCTCTCTGTCAGAGTTATAAGTGCTAAAAAAAATTTCTTCCCAGGCTAATAAAATAAGGTGGTTAGATAGTGTTGTGTGTAAACTGATCTACTGTTGCAAGATTTTTCCACCAATGGACAACTTTCTCTATATGCATTGTATGCTATTTTCTGGAGGCAAATTTAAGCAGTGTAATGGACTATAATGCTATTTTACTCCATTAAACGAACAGGGTAAAAAGCAAAAGGGGTGGGTAGAGAAATCTTACGGTGGTTGTGAGGAAGGTTAAAGGAAAGGGACCCCTTCAGGCCCCTTCTTTCTTAAGGGGAGAAACAGTGGATCTTTGTTCTAAATTTTTACCATTGAACAACAGCCTTATAATAATATGAAGAACTACAATTATAAATATAAGGCCAAATTTTCCTTCCCCCATTGGTTAGGCCCAATTGCATTTTTTTAATGATAAGATAGAGCTAATAGACAATTAGATGGGCCCAGGTGCCTTTGACATCCCTTGCATTTAGAAATCGTCACATATCCTTCATGTGGATGGTGAACCAAAGTGCACCACTAACTCTGTTAACGACACTAGTAAAATGAACTCGATAGCCTCCCCCTCCTCCCTTCCTTCGCAAACCCGTGGATTGAAAACAAGTAAAAATATTGTTAATCTACAAATTTAGAAAAAAAAAAAAAACTAAAAACAGAAAGCTTAATTAGAGGTACATAATTTTGGAGCTTCGAAAATTGCTCTGATACATACATTGCATAAACTGTGGTTGTTCTATGCGAACAAAGTGCATCTATCACATGATAGAAAGTTACGTGATATCCACGTTAACTTGTACTATTCTAGGGAATAATGTGATTTGATGTGATGTTTAAATTAATGTCATTTGAAGGTTATCTACCGTTCAAAAGTTATCAACTTTTTATTTAATCAAAGAGAAATATTATCAGGTTTTGACTTTTGAGGTCTGTTGTCGGCTTGAACATTCCGTTGCAGGTAGTAGTGGATTGAAAAAAATCCTGACTGCTGAGAGATCATGAATTTTGTAAACATCATGTGGAATGACTAGGAGTAAAGGAGATGCTTTCTTTGCGTTCCTAATTCCAAGGTATTATTTCTAGGTGAGTACAAAAGTAATGTTTAGCCTTTAGGCGAAAGATTTGAAGATTTCTTTGAAAGACAGCCTTCACATCTGTAGTAGCATAATTGATAGGACTGCCATCTGTTGTCGTCGGTGTTATTATTATTGATACTATTGTTTTGTATATTTCAAGCATGCGTGACGGAAAGGCAAACCCTCCATCCACTCAAGGATGGAGGATATCAACCCACAAAGAGCTGACTCGTGGATAAGAGCCCCAGTACGATATAATTCCAAGATCTCTAATTGTGCTGCTCATCGCACATATTACACATCACTAATGATGAATACTGACAAATTTTCCTGGTGCAACTGCTCACTGGGGAAACATTATGATGAAGGTAGAAAGCAAGACTTTCTGTCGTCACCTGTGCATATATCAAATTATGGGAGACTATCCTGACATTTGTTCGTAATTTATGATCATGATATAACCCGAAAACCAGAGATTCTTGTGCATTTTGTAGAATTATATTTTGTCAGTAAGTGCATGCTGGCTATTCTTCAAAACCATGATGATCCATGCATGCTTTTACATTGGTACAGAAATTTGAATTTCAAGTATCTTCTAAACAGATGATCGCATTATTCTCAAAAGAATTCTAGCTTTATGAAAGTGACTGTTTATCTTACTGATAGAAGATGAGGTTTATTGGTGTAGTCATGCTTTGAAACAGAATTGACAAACCAACTACAAAGTTCCCTTATTACTCCATTGCTGCCACTTTCGTCTAAGTTATTCTAAATATAAAAGTCAATTTGAGTTTTCATTAGATTTCAGGAGTTTTATCCAATCTGAAAGAAACTTATCTATCCTAGAAAAGGCTGCATACTAATAATTTTTAGGTAACTGTTGCATTCACCTGTTTATCGAGGGCAGATAATTGATGAAGTAGATGGCTGTCCTGGTAAAAGATTTAATGCAAATTGCACTTGCTTGGTTCCAAAAGGGGCAAGATCTCATCTTGTGAAGTATTTTCGTTGCTGCGTTCAATTGTTGTGTATTTTATACCTAGTTTTATGAAATTTAGCTTTACTGTACTGAAATAGGCTATATGTGTGAATGGCAGTGGATCTCAGGAACGATTTCCTTAATGTTGCAAACTGCTGTTCTTTTTCAGTTCCTTTCTGTTCGCGTAACATAAAATTAATTATGATCCGAGGCAGCAAAATAAGAATAAAGTAATGGACTGAGGATAGACATTTATTTGGACACCAATTCCCCTATACAGTCTGCCGATGGATTTTCACATATGTCCAGAACCAAATGCAGCTAAAGAATTAAAGCTTGGGACAAAACTAATAATTTCAGGCCCCTCTCATGTTAAGGTCAGCCAACAAGTGGTGCAAAATCTTGCATTTCATACTTCATTCCATGCTTCAAAATTACTATTATTTGTGGGGAAGGAAGGGACTCAATGTGTTGAAGTACTCTAAATTGTGGTGGGGAAGTACTTTGAATTTGAAATTATTTATAGGATATGGAGGGCATCAACACACTTATAAACATTTTATCAGTGATTTTTTGTTTATTCAAATCTGAGGGATGCTTTCCTTCCTTTTTCACATCAAAAAAATGGTTGACGGAGCATGCGATACGGAAGTTGGTTTACTTATTATCGTATTGTGATGATGTGATCTTTTGGTTCAAGGAATACAAGAACTTTTACAATTTATTTTCCCTGCAATGCTATCTATTACTTGATTGTAATTTTAGTGGTCTAGCTGTTTTCTTCCTTGTTGCATTTCCAGAGGGTAGTGAATTTATTATCCTCATAGAAGCTTGAATGCAGGTGCTAGCAAAAATGCAGAACACGATCGGTTGAGGTTGTTGAATAGACAAGGTAATTTTTCTGAGGATTTTATGCAGTCAAGTGATATCAGCCTTTGCTGTTGAAAAATTGCCCCGTGTCTGTGTTGGCACTGATCCAGCCTCCTGACCCTGGTTTAAACAGACCAGTTCTGGATGGTGAGGTAGTGTAAAATGAAAGCAATATGCTTTGCTGATTGATCATATCATTGATGGAAGAAGTAAAAATGTCATACGGGGCACAGATTATGAACATCCTTGTTAAAGTATTTCAAGCCCAAATCTAATCTACATTCCTAAGCTCTATTTTGCTGAAAGGTTATCAAGTCCATGATGCAAATGGACCCCTTGCTCTCCATATTGTTTTCTGGTGCTGTGATTTTTAGTGCATGGTATTAAAGCGCAGAGACGAATGAAAAGTGGGTCCCCTTAAGCTATCTTTCTTTGACGAGAAAATGGCTAAAGTACAAAATGCAGTAGCCGAACATATGGTATATTAGTAGGATAAATCAGGCGTCAGCCCAATAGCATGCACAGATTTATCGGTACATCTGACATAAAGATGTTCTTATTACTAATCACATCACTAATGACAATCTAAAATTAAAAAACAAAAGCTTTTGACAAAATCTCAATGACGTGACAAAAAGGAAATATTTTTCGATGGATTTGATTTACAGTACTGCATCCATTGGTTTGATTAGGTTGGAGGATCTTTAGCCTTTGCCCATCCATCATGTACTGCAATATTTCAATATCAAAAATCTTCATCCCCAAAAGATTTGGAAAGTTGATTATTTTAGAGAGAAATATATTACACATATTATTTTTCATCAAATAGGAGGGATGAGTGTTGTCTCTGTATATGAAAGTGATTCGATCCAGATCCTACTGCTTGGGTAGGCTTAGTGGCGTTGAGTATGCTTGGGGTGGATTGTAAACTCGAATATTTCATTGTCATTGACATCTTCTGGATCTAATTGACAGTGGCTAATGGAATGAATACCTCAAGAATAATTGTAAATCATGACTTGGTTACTTTAAAATGATCATTTGATTCTGATTGTAATAGACTTATCCAATTGAGAATACTAGTGTTTTATTTGGTATGATAAAAAAAAATGAAAGAAGAAATAGTTATAATAATAAATAAAATATCAAGTTTGACAAGAAAAAAAAATGAGAATGATGAAAAGGCGAAAAAATTAACCTTTTTTTTAAGTCATTATAACTTGTCCACAATTTTGTGGGATACCAAGTTACTACTGCCTGTGAGGCATGAAATGCCGGTCGATACTTTCATGGCTAGGCATCAGCCAGTGGGCACCTACATGGCTAGGCCACTGCCGCTCGACAGCCATCTAGGACGGCATTCTCTTGGGCAAGGGCCTGCCGGTTGCCACCTGCTTGGCCGTTCGGCACTTATCTGGGGAGATCCTCGCTTGAGCCCACTTGTTGCCCGGATTCACTATGGGTCAGCTACTTTAATTTCATTCAAATTGCTACAATTCCTCATAGGTGCTCACTTTCTCTAGACGAGTCTTATTCGGTAAAGGATTACCCTAAGACCTATAATCCTAGTCTAATATCACTCCGAATATCTAAGAGTCAATGATGAAACAGTCATGAACTAGTAATAAGGACTTGGGACCAATGGTCCTAATCT